AGGTCCACCATCACTTAGGGTTTTCTTTAAAAACAAATGCTAAAATGACTCTCAAGAATGATACAGGATCTGTAGACTCATTTTCAAATGCTAAAAGGTAGTCCTCTTGTATGTTGATTTAATAATATTGCCAAATAACTAGTGATCTCAATAGAATTAATTACTAGAGTCCAATAGTTAATATAGACAATATATAGTTTATTCAAAATGATTAAACTTTTGTTTTCGTTGTTGTGCTGTTTGACACCGTGTTTATAGTATTCCACCAACTGGTTGAATACCTCCTGAAATTGGCATAAATGCAGTGACACAAGAGAAGTAGAAAGGTTTGATCGTCTACTTAAATGCTTTCCTGAATTCTGGTGACTGAACCAGTTTTTCCTGTGCCTCCAAATTACAGCAGCTAATTTGGAAATTAAACCCATAAAGTGTGCATCTAACAATATAACTTACTTCTAATCTTGTACTTTTAAAAAAATTCACTGATAGTTTAAATTCTGGCAGCTCACTGCTTTTGTTTCTAAATTGTAAATCTAAGTAGGATATTGCAATTATTTTTTGCAGCATTATCGCTGTTTTGACAAGCTTTTCATAATTACAGGGTGGGAAAAAAAACAAATATTTCAGTGTGCATTTGTTAATCACTTTCATTAGCTATTGGGCCTGTTAAATTTAAACTCCTTCCTATTTTAAAAAAAATTAAATTAAATGATTCATTTGCTCTTATACCATAAAATCACCTCTAGCTAAAGTAGTTTGCAATGTTTGTATTCTCTAGTATATTTACAGCTGCTTGTTTTCTCTATGGGCCTCATTACATGACAGGATGCAATTAATAGCAACATTGAACAAACTGCACAGCATAAAATTAAAATTAGTTTTGTTGCATGTAAATGTTATCACTAGCAGCTTGAGTAAAAACTATCCTTGATGCTAAATTCTTGTGCTTCTGTAGACCAGCAATATCTCTCCAATTTGTAGTGCTGATGCCTCCAAGGAGTCTTTCAATAATCATTTTAGTTATATTTTAGTTTATGGTTGCATCTCTGAGAGGGATATGGAAAGCAAAAATTCTAAATGATCCATGCAATATTAGAATTGGAATTTGCTTTTAAGAAAATACACGATTTGATAAAATTATGGAGGTTGAGTTTTATGGGGCAGTTCACTACATCTTTTGAAAGATGTTTTAAGACATTACATAAATACTGGAAAATTGATCCTGAAATGTGTATATCATTGATTTTAAAAAAGTGGACCAACAATGGCTCTGGGCTGTTGACCAATCAATCATTAGAAATGACTGCCAGGAGACACTTTTTTCTGGTAATGTTCAGACTTGAGGATAATTAAAGACCAAATCCCAGTTTGTTCATTGATTTATTAAACTTCCTCCATTAACATATTGGCCATTTTTTAAAGGTTGCTCATGGGATGAGGGGTTTGCAAGTTAACCCAGCATTTATTGTTATTTGAAATGCCCATGAGAAGGTGGTGGTGCTGAGCTGTCATCTTGAATTTCTGTAGTCTATCTGGTGTATGTGCTCCCTACACTACATACTGGGGAGTGCTGTTAACGAATAAGCTGCAAGAATTTGACCCAGAGACAGTGAAGGAGTGCTGACATTGTTCCTAGTCAGGAGGGGATGTGTTTTGGAGGTGAGCTTGCAAGTGATGCTGTTCCCATGTGTCTGCAGCCTTGTCTTTCTAAGTGACTGACTTTGTGTGTTTAGAAGGTGCTGTCTAATAAAGCCTTTGTAAGTTGTTGTTGCAGTACATCTTCTAGTTAGTGTATAATGCTGCTGCTGTACATTGGTGATGGAGGGAGTGAATGTTGAAGTAGATGGATGAGGTGCCAAACAAGGGGATTTGTTTTGGATAGTGTTAAGCTTCTTGAGAGTTGTTCAAGCTGCATTCATCCAGATATGTAGAGCATATTTCATCATGCATCTGACTTGTACCTTGCAGACAATGGACAGGCTTTGTGGCATTAGGTGGTGCGTTACTTGTCACAGAATTCCCAGCCTGTGGCCTATTTTTGTAGCCACAATATTTGTACAGATGGTGCAGTTCAGTTTCTGGTCAGTAGCAAGTGCCCCCCCACGATGTTGGTAGTGGGATATTAGCAATGATAATGCCATTGAATGTCAAGGGGAATGGTTGGTTGCTGTCATATTGGAGATAGCCATTGCCTGGTATTTGTATGGTGCGAATGTTACTTGCCAGTTATCAGCCCAAGCCTGAATGTTGTCCAGGTCTTGCTGCATTTGGACATGGACTGCTTCAGTATCTGAAGAATCACGAACGGTGCTGAACGTTGTGCAATCATCAGTGAACATCCCACTTCTGACCTTATGGAGAGAAGTTAGTTGATGAAACAGCTGAAGATGGTTGAACCAATGACACTGCCCAATGAACTCCTGCAGAGATGTCTTTGGACTGAGATGATTGAACTACAACAGTCACAACCATCTTCCTTTGTGCTAGGTATGGCTGCAACCAGCGATTACAGAAAAATGTTCTCTCTCCACTTGGGATACATTTATCTTCATTAAACTTGAAGGCTGACATATTCATACAAATACCAAGTACATCTTTTTGAATTAAGTTTTTTTTTAAATTTTAGTTTCAAATTGCAGTAGAAGTTTTCCCTGACCTAAAGTCTCCTACTACTGGCTAATCTGGTGAGGATACAATTGCTTAGGATGATGACTGATCCTTTTGGGCTGGATTGTAGGCTTCCCAACAGATGGGCTTGAAAGTCGGGGGCGTATAAAATCCAGCAGATGGCCTTTCACCCAAAGCCCCTAAATTCTTTTGCAGATTTTACGGGGACATGAGGGAGGCATCAAGTGCCCCATAAAATCCAGCTCTTTATCTTTTTTAAAGCAGTTATTTTTCACCTTTAAACCTGGGAATCAGTAGGATATTCACAGCTAGATTATATGACTGTCAGACCTAAAATTTCATATATCAAATGTCTACCTATTCGCTTCCCTATGGGGATCATTGGATGACAATCCAATCAGGAACTTTGATTTTATTTTCTATCTAACAGCCTTGATTAACCCCTCGACACAAACTATGATTTAATGCTGCAACCATGTAGCCTCTGTGGCTGCTGTTATACTAGTTAGTGCCTTCAATCACAAGACCATTTGGAGAGCCATTGATGACTTTCAAACGCTATGCTTTGATTGAAGTCAAAGGTTGCCTTTTCCCATCAGAATTTATTTATTCATTTGCTTTGGCTTTTTTCTACTGAATTTGGTAGATGGTGATTTTTTTTTTCTTTTCCCTCCTTGTTACCAGCTGTTTACAGCAACCAATGGTAAATGGCTTTGGCCAGCAAATACATGATCATAAATTCATGTGTTGTAATAATCCTTTATTTCCAGCTTCAAATTACCAAACAAATTTGTCTTGTGTTATGGATGGCACCGTTTTACCATACCTCCATATGTTTGGAAGGGTGCAGCTTGGAGTGAATTGAGCTCATACACCCATGAGCCTGAGTTCAGGCATAAGTTTTGAGAATTTGATTCACAGCAGTTTTCCTCCTGCTAAAGCAACTACTCATGTTTATAGAACATTTTTTTCGTAACTTTTAGATATATTTATACATATTTTTAATTAAATTAAAATGTACTGCAGAGCTTTCAGAGAATATTGTTAAACAACATTGATCCATGTGAAAGGATAGACCAGGTGGTCAAAAGTTTGTTCATGGAGGTCATGGTAGCAATGCTGGATAGTATTCGCTTAATTCATGTCAATGTAATGGGAAGTTAGTTTCCTTTTGAGTCTACAGGAGATAAAAATTCAAGGAATGGAAAGTTCACTGGTGGCTGACTCTCAACATTGCATTTATACGTTCTTGCTGTCAAAGTCACTGACATTTTGTCATGAAAATTGAGTTTTTTTTAAACTGCTGCATAATTAATAACAATTCAGAAAACACTACCTATCAATCACGGAGAAAATGAGCTGTCTCCTTTCAATAGTTCAGGTCCAGTAAGAAGCATTATTGAGGTCGTGTTGCCCCCTCTCCATTCCAACCAACACTGTTTGATGCTGAAATGCCTCTTTTGCGCAACTAGCCCAGAAATCCAAGCCAAAAACAGAAATTGCTAGACAAGCTCAGCAGGTCTGGCAGCAGCTGTGGAGAGAAATCAGAGTTAACGTTTTGTGTCGATTGATTGTTCCTCAGAGAACCCATTTTTGTTTGTGATTTACAGCATCCACGGTTTTTTTTTCAGGCTTTGTTCAGAAATCCAAGCCAATTTATTTGACATTATACTTGCAGTTACCTCCAGTGGCTTCTAGTGGAACATTTCATAGTAGCTAATTGCATAGGTGAAAAGAGAAAAGGGAGAAATGAAGTCTTAAGATCAAAATGGAGCCTGTTGGCTATTCTAGAATGTTTGATGATTGCATCTAAGAGTATCTGCTGTCCTGGGTTGTGACTCAAGCTTATTATGACTCGAAATATTCCTAGTTCCCTTTCCCAGATGGCTTAACCTTGCTGTCAGGGCCAGTAGTACACATAAATATTTGATTTCAATCACATTACTTTGTTCTAGATCTAATTAGTTGAAGAACTGAGACTTTCGCTGCGATCTGACTACTAAAAGCCAAACTCATAAAAATTAGGTAGTGTATTATTTATTCTCCATCGTCCTTAAACAAGTTAGCTTTCATCACCATTTAAGTATCTTTAAATATTGTATAATACAACTTGAAATAATCCTGAGAACAATTGTGAAATGCCTATTTCTTTTTCTGCTCTAGACTTGAATTCCAATTCTTAAATTATGAGGGGAAGTGTTTGAAGCCACTTTGCATCCTGTTCTAGCTTGTAGTGCAGAAGGGAATCTTTTTTGCAAGACTTGCCAAAAGATTAGAATACTGCAGCTGTTGGCCCATCTGTCTGTGTTTGTGGGAAATGAGTACCCCTTTGTAAGTTAAGCCTGATTTTCTTATCCCTGTTTCTATTCTAGGTTGTTTGATCATTCCATGGAAGGGTTTAAAAGTTGGGAATTCATGACTACTCATTGCTGGGGTGAAAAAGCAGCAGGTGACTGGATCCTTGAAATTCATGACAGTCCTTCGCAACTCCGAAACTTCAAAACACCAGGTACTTGCAGAAATTAATTACAGACCGTTCAAAATTTTCAATACCAGCATTTCTTCTGTGGAACAATACTTTACTGTTACAATTTGGATTCCCAGAATAGTTTACTGTTGAATTATATTTAAGCATTTACAAAGATTTTAATTAAAAATCAGATGAACAGATTCTTTTGGCAAGTTTCAAAGCATTGACAGCACAACTGAAACAAAGTTGAAACTGTAAAGCATGTGTTCATGAGCACTGTTGTCAAACATCCAAAACTCATGACTATGGCTCTGCCCCTAAGACTTGCCTGCAATGCAGTCTGCAGGTGGGTTAAGATTCGCTGTTTATAGCAGAATAAAATGAAAACCTAGCACTTTGTCATAATGCCTGCCCTTCCTCCTTCTGCATTGCTGCTGTTGATGAAACATTTGTGTGTACTACTACTGTGGCTAAACAAATTCCAGCAGTAACAAAACATAAGTGCCACAATAGTTCTGCTGTAAAATGCTCCATGTTAGGAAAGAAGCTCTGTGCGTCTGTATACTTTTCCATTACGTAGCTTGAACATTTACAAATGAGTGGGCAGAACAGCACACACCATAAGGGGAGGCAAACCTGATTACAATTTATTTCTGAAATGTGACACTACTATTGCTAAGAAACAGAGGGAGGGTGAAAGACATTCTTGCTGGCAATAATACAACATGCCTAACAGCATCACTAATAATATTTTCCATTAATCAAAGGAGTGTGTAGGGAGTACCAAGCTCTCTCTAAGCTGCAGAATGCTTGACCAGATGGTAAAGAATTGGTCGCCACAACATCCTTTTCAGCACAAAGCTTTGCCTACAATAAAAATTTGTTAGTGCAAGGTACTCAGCAGGAGCACATGCATTAGAAGGAATTGGGGAAACAAATCAGGTCATTTTTGCTGGCGAATGGGTTATGTCCCAAATGTTTAATTAGTTCTGGTCCCACCTGTTCATGAACTGTTATTACATCGTGTTACGGTCAGGTCTAACTCTGTTCCCTCAGGCAGAGTTTCCTGGGTAATTTCTTCCAGGAATGTTTCGGAATGTGTACTTAATCACATCAGATCTGTTTATTTTCAGTCAATATATTGAGCAATTGCCTTTGATCAAATAACTTAATTTGCAAGTGGTTATGTGTTGAGTCAGGTTTTGATTTTTTTTCCTGCATTATATTCCAAACCATGTGCTAAATACTTCTGACACCATGAAGGGATGTTCAGTTGGAGCTCAAAAATGTTTGTGAAAAAATACAACTTTTTGTTTTCCTGTAGACTTGGGGGCCAAAGTGAAATTCATGTACAAAAGGCACATCAATCACGTTAGCCAGGGATGGCTGTAATTAACATGATGGAACTATTCTGTTCTTGATTTGACATTATTAACATTTGTATTCAGTTCATAAAATCTGTGCATGGCACAGTTACTTCATGTGGCAATTCTCTGCTGAAACAAAAATGAAAATTTGAACTTACTGGCTGCCATTTTGAATTTCTCTTGGCAACTCCACTAATGGGGGAAGTTTTCCTGATCATATAGAAGAGGCTTGCAATGTTCACTCAAACCTGGGAATGTATTACATGCTAATCCAAGAACTAAAGCTGAATTTCTGGTAAGCATTTGCTAGAAACTAAGCAATCTCTCTCAGAAATATGATTGCACAATTATAGTTCAGCTGGCATCCCACATGCGGCAAATCAGCCATGCAGCTCAGGGATTTGAGAGCTAAAAATCACACAACCCTCCATACCCTATGATTGTTCTATGTATCAACTCCTGGACTTTTTTCAAAACTGTTGCAGAAAAGCCAAGTGATCTTGAACCTTGAAGACTTCACTTGAAAACTTTTGCAGCATGTGATGTTGTGAGACTAGTTATTTTGCTGCATGGAGTTGGAGAAAACGTCACTGAGGGAGACAATCCTTCCCAATTAGTTACTGTCTTTAATTTTTGGATACTTGTCCCATCAGGATTGGAGAAGAGATAAGAACATCCCCTCCATGCAACTGGGAGGAGTATAATCATTTCTAAAATCTCTTTTTGATTTTCTTCTTGGAATATTGTGACAAGACAGTATTACTTACTCATCCTACTTTTCCTAAGGCCTTATAAGAACTAGCAATTCAATATTCAATAGAGTCATGTGTAGACTAGAGCAGGCAGGGGAAAGATGAAGTAAGATGTTTTCAGAAGAAACAAGTATACATGATACACCTCACAGAATTTGTTAAAAATGAAACACATACCAATTTTGGGGGAAATGACTAGGTGCACAGCAAGTGGACTTTAGAAAAGCCCTTGACCAAATGTATGTAGGAGAATTCAAGAGAAGATTATGTACAGAGCTATGAAGCTGTAATGTTCATTGCAGCGTTTGTTGGAGTTGGAAATTGTCAGCATTCATGATTCGAGAGGGGAGGTGAATGAAGGAAATAGATTAAAAATGTTTGATAACAGGATAGTGTGTGATTAGAACAATTTGCTGACATGGCAGTTAAATGCTGACATAGACCATTTGGATCAAGTGGCCTGTTTCAGTGTTATACCTGAAGTGATTGCTTCTCTGAAGGACATCAGTGAACTATTTAGGTAAACAGTCTCTTAGTGGTAGATTTGCTTGGAGGTTGGGAAAGTGATGAGACGGTGTGCTGTAAAATTACCAAGGGGCCTGTCCAGTTCCTGAGGTATTTGCCATTTTACAGAGAGGGTTGGAGGCAGGCAAGCTTTAAAGTGATCGGAATGCCATAGAACCAGATGAGCAACTTAAGTGGCTAATGATTGGACACTTAGGAGCCAGTATTCATTCCCACCCTCCCTGTTCCATCGTTGTTATTTTAGGGCAGATAGGAAAGGTTCAGGGTTGTTGTGGAGGCTGGCATGTTACCCGATCCAAGCATCTAGGCTGAATGGATAGAGATGCCTCCCTCCAGGTCCTCCTGTCCAGCACACTGTTACCACCTCCTCAGATCTCCCCCATAAGATGCTTTTTCCACCCCTAATCTTTCTCTGTCAAGACCTCCACTCCCACCGTGGCTTAATCTTTCCTCCCCACTGTGAAATCCCTGCCCCGTGCTTGCTTTGTCCTGAATTCCAGGACTTTCAATTTGGTTAGCAGCTTGTGCTGCTGGGATTACTAAACTAACGTCTAATGACATTGTCCAAAGGATTGCTGAGGCAACCCAAGTGTTAGGCAGAAGTCCATCTCCAGCCAATTAATGTTCCTCAGCATGTTAAATAGCTATGGAGCTGCAATGATCAGTGCAAACACAGTGCTCATCGACTCTTCGCATGGTGGGCATGAAGGAAACTCATCCATCTGAAAATACAGCCTCACGTTTTTCTGTAAGTTTAGTTATCACAAAATTACCAGATCATGGTAATTGCACAATGCCATTAGGAAGGGAATTCCAGGATTTTGACCCAATGACACTGAAGGAGCAGTGATGTATTTCCAAGCCTAGATGCAGACGTTGGGGGGGCGGGTGGGATTTGTAAGTGCTGATAGTGCTGTGCATCTGCTACCCTTGATCTTCTAGAAGGTAGTGGTAAAGAGTTTAGAAAGTCCCAAGCGAGCTCTGGGTTGATACCTACTGTACGATAACCACTTCTGCTGAATGTGTATTTTGTCAATGTCACATTGTGCATACTCCATCTCTTCTGGTTAACCGTGACGTTTACTCATTTTACTGTTTTGTAAAACATGTGCAACATGAAATTCCTCAACTGGAAAATAAGTTGTGTTTATGACTCTAGATATCAAGGGAACTGAACAAGCTGCAACCTGTCTCGTGGATCTTTCATTCCTGTTTGAATATAATTTTGCAAGTCACAAGGTCATTTGACTGAATTTGTAAATTCCAGATTTGTTTTCTCATGATCGAATTGTTTTGACAGTGTCGTTTTGTACTTGACTTTCTGGAGATGGAACATAAAGTTCCATTGCATAGAAATTAGAAGAATATCTATTAAGATGATTACGTTAGAGAACATCAGCTTATGTTATGATCCCTGCAGAGACCAACGAAGGAATTGACCTAAAACTCTAATGTGAAAATCAATGGAAAATGTTTCACTTTTTTTTTAAATTTTTTACTCTAGCAATCAAACAAAAATTAAAATAAAATAAATTAAACCTGAACTAATGGTAAAGTGTGGTTAATATAAACTCTAAATGACAAATATAGAGATATGACATAGACTGATTTTGTGTATATTGTACAGATCACTTTAATATGTGGCACCAAAATTCAGACACAAAATCCTTCAAAGCTCTGAACCTCGTCAGGCCAAATTCCAGTTCTTTGGCTTCAGGGCTTTAGCCATCAATTCTTTTTAAATATCAGCTTTACTTCACCCAGCTCCTCAAATACAGTTTTCATCATAATGCACACTTTCTTTTCCAGATGCCCTCACACTGACTCCTATATCCAAGTTACTTAACTTTTCAGCTGTGCCCCAGCCTCCATCTTCTGACCAAAGCTGGTCACCTGAGTCTTGTTTTCAGACCAACTTGGGATGTGAATCTGTTTTTTGCTTTGTTTCCTTTTTTTTTCTTTGTAATATCCAACCTCTCAACACTTGGCATTTGACGGCATAACCTGCTTGTTCCTAATCATGCAGGCTACAAATCTCAGAATACATTGGGCAAAGCATAGCTTCAGAGTGGAGATAGTAGGTAGGTCCTCTACAAGCTTTAATAGAAGCCACAGCAAAAGGGGGAGGTGATGACTGGTAAATTTGCCCATCAGGCATGGTGCCCTTGTAACAATGAACATGAAACCATCCATCTAACTGGGTCTGTAACCCGCCCACATCGTTGGCTGACCTACCTGCGTGTTGCTGCAAATGTCTGACTGCAGAGCTCATCACACTTAATAGAATTGCTTATTCGATGTGCAAAAACTGAACATTCTTTAGCCATGCCACTCCTGTATTAATGCAGCTTTTAGTTACAAACATTTTTCTGATATATCCATACCCAAGTTTGCTTCAGACAGTGTTCCTCAATGCTCTGAGCTAACTCCTTGGAGTAATTTTACTTTTTATTTATTGTGACTTAGCCAGTTTAATATTTGCAGCAAGTATATAATTTTCAACTTAAATTGCCAGGAGGTACATTCATAAAGTGACCACCCAACACCAGTAAAAATATTGGCTATTAATTATGTACTAATGATTTATTGTAAAGATTTATATGTTTTGACCAGTCATCTATTTAGCCAACCACTCAGCCCACACAGGCCTGTATTTTTAAGACAGTTACATGACATCATGATCTTTTGTTTGTATGGTTTTATGTCCATACCCAAGTGTTTGGGTTCAAGACCATCTGGTCGAGATGAAGAGGAGGTCAAAAATTGTGCTCAAGCATAAGTTTCTTTAGAACTCTGTATATTGTATATTAAAATGCAATATAACTATATTTGCTAATGTGGGTTAAACAGGCCCTAATCTTAATGTTACATTATTAAGACTATTCTTCACATGTGCTTCTCTCTTCACTTTCTAACTCTGCCCACGCTCACTTTGTATGCAGTGGAGAGCAGCTCTGTGACATTGTGACAAGGCAGCTCCAAGTCCTAAAGTCATTATAGAGCAAAAGACCTGTAACATTCAGCATAGGTGTACTCAACTCACCTTTAGTCACCTTTTCTATATCATGGGGTTAGTGTTGTTAGTCAGCTGTAGTACATAATGTACACAAACATCAATAAGCGTAAAACCCATCCTTATGTGTAAATATCTGCTTCAGGATATCTGACCTAACGAAACATCACTGTTTGTGGGGGGTTAAAATTGTTTCAGAGATAGTAGGAACTGCAAATGCTGGAGAATCTGAGATAACAAGGTGTAGAGCTGGATGAACACAGCAGGCCAAGCAGCATTAGAGGAGCAGGAAGGCTGACGTTTCGGGCCTAGACCCTTCATCAGAAATGGTGAGGAGGTTGTAAGGTTTCAGACTGGGAAAGTGCAAAACAGTGATGAAATTTGAAGCTGATGCTGGTTTTAAATTGGTGTTAGGAGTGGAGGGCTTATGTAACTCTGAGAATGAATTGTAAGGATGAGGAGACAAAGTGGGCAGCTGCATTTGGATAAGTTGAAATTTATAGATATTTAGAAAGATATCAAGGACGACATTGGAATAGTTAAGTATAGAGGTGACAAAAGGATGAAAAATATTTGAACTTCGGGTGGGAGCAGCTGACTTCATTCAGGGATGAATGTGAGGAGTCAAGTGGATTTAGTGCTTTTGGAGGATATGAAGTATGACGCTTCACCCAAGGTTGTAGTAGAATTATTACTTTGGCCTGTGAGTGCATGGGAAAGGGTATAGTATCAGTGGTTGGGGAGAGGAGCTCACGCAGTGTTGAAATGACATCTCTCAACTCTAATATTCAGCAATTGGAGTTGCAATACATCCAAGATATCAAAATTTTGGTTGTTCACATTCTTTAGACCCCTAACCTGTTTCTGATAATAAAATTGCTACAGTCCAGCTGCAAAACTGTGTGGATTGTTTTGTTTGCATTTCAGATGCTGTTGTATATATGACTGGTTTGATAGATGCCCGTTATCCACAGCTCTGCTAATGAGTCCATTGTACTTTTTATAGCTTGTTACAACTGTGTCTTCTTTTTTAGGTAAACTGAAGGAATGGTCTCTTGTACTTCATGGCACATCAATCCATCCATACACTTCTTTCTATACAAGGTTAGATCAACTAAAGGTGCGATCCAGTCCAAGGGAAGATGTCTCTGATGACTATGCAGATGAGTACACCGGTAAGTTGGAATGTTTATTCGAAACATACATTTAGCGCTTTTCTTAGTAGACAGTGTTATAGTTCTACATTAATGTGCATCTGCTTACCCTTTTCTCTTTGCCTCCTCTTACAAAGGAACGTGCATGCACTAATTTGATAGTATGCAATTGCGTTCTACCCCAACCATAACTGATTTGATCATGTTTAATGACTCCGTATCTCATCAAAGGATGGAGATTTCAGTTTTAGTTATATTAAATAGAACTGGGGAATTTGTTAACGTATTACATATTATTTCGCAACCCTCTTTGATCAGGGTACCCTTCAAACTGACATTCTTGAGAAAATAAAATTTGAACTTGGCAGTACTCTAGATTACGTGTATCTAAATGTAAAGGAAATTCCATTTTCATGAAGCAAAGGACTCTATTTTCTAAAAGAAACTTATAGAATTTATAATAAAACTAAGAACTGGAATTGCTGGCAAAACTCAGCAGGTCTGTCAGCATCTGTGGGGAGAAAGCAGAGTTTGTTTTGAGTCCAGTCACTTTTCATCAGAGCTGGCACATCACCAGCCTCAAAACATAGACTGTGTTTTCTCCCCACAGATGCTGCCAGACCTGCTGAGTTTTGTCAGGAATTTCTGGTTTTGTTGTAGCATTTATACTTGGATTTGACCTTTTGAACTGTGTACCAAAATCCTTTCCAAAGGACTAGGATGAAAGTTGTACACTATTGGAGGCCAATAAAAAATAATTTAAGTTGGCTAAACTCCCTCGTCACACTATGTTAGTAGGCCTGTGCAATGTTTTTGTTAGGTTTCACTGCACTGTTGATAAAAGGATTACCTATAAATAGCCAGACTCTATAATTTGAATGGTATAGTTGTCTCGTCTGCAGTGCATAGTTCAAAATCTCAGTTAGATCACCCTGTAATTATGAAGTCTTTGACCATTCAATGAATCATATTTTCCCCGTACTCCTTAGATATGGGTGTGGTGCTGTATGTGTGTTCTCAAGAGGACTGGAGAATTGCAAATGTCGTACCCTTTTATAAGGATAAGCTCAGCACTACGAGTGAGTTGGGTCAACCTCCATGGCAAAAAAATTTTAGAAGTGATAATTTAGACAAAATCAGGTCACTTGGGTGAGTGTAGATTAATTAAAGAAAGCCAGCATGGAGGTTCTTAAAAGGCAAATTGTGTTGAACCAACTTGAGTTTTCTCATGCAGTAACTGACAGAGTTGATGTGGTTTACATCAGAAGTATTTGACACAGGACAAGTAAATGGGCTTGCCAGCAAAGGTGAAGGCCGCGAAAACAAAGAATGGTGGCAGAATGTGTATGATGTCTGTTGTGTGACTGGAGGTAAAGGAAAATAGTTATTGGTTGTTTTAATTTTGGGCTGGGAATAGGTAACATATTGGGGACTCGCATCCATGGGGGACTAGGATCATTGTTTTATTGATATAGTAAGGATTTGGGTAAGCAGAATACAGTTTCAAAATTTGGAGATGACATGAAGCTTGGAAGTATTGTAAATTTTAAGGAGCTTAGCAATGATCTCACAAAAGTTAGCGTCACGTGTGGACACATGGCAAATCTAATTTAATGTGGTCAAGTATGAATTATTTCGTCTTCAACTGGAATAGTGTGTGCAGTCCTGGGCACCATGTTACAGGAGCAATGAGAGACTTAAAGAGGGTGTAAAAAAGACTTATTGGAATGGACCAAGGAATGAGAGATTTCGGCTTGATGGGTGGATTGGAGAAACTGGAATTAATCACCTCAAGTGTTTGTGAGAAGATTTAACAGGTGTTCGAACTATGATTAATCTAGATTGTAATGAGGAGAAAAAAATTTGTATTGGCAGTAGGGTTAAGAGGTAAAGGGCATCAGATTAAAATACTGAGTAATTATAGGAAAAATATTTTCTGTGGTGAATTTTGAATTTGGAGTGCATTGCCCAAGAAAATGGTGGAGGCAGTTTCAATTGTAGCTTTCAAGAGGGAACTGAATAACCACCTAAAGGGAATAAAATTCCAGGTCTATGAAAAAAGTGTAGGGAGTGACCCGAGCTGAATACCTCTTGATTTGGACTTGACAGTTCATATTTTCTCTTTATTCTGTAACTCAATATGGTTCTATGATTTGTTTTTAGCAATTATTGCTACCTGTCCAGAATGGACCAAACTTTATAGTCCAATGAGTTGAGACATGGCATGGCTCCTTAGTATCATTGAATGCACTTCCCACTCCATTTGGGAACTTTAGGGTATATTATATCCTGGGCAACCACAGTGCAAGAATTACCAGCTAAACGAGCTCAGGCTTCAGGTTTCCAGAGTATCGCAGAAGAGCTTTTAAGTGGGGAAGGTGAACAGCCAGAGATCACGGTTTATACCTGTACCAGTGACATATGCAGAAAGAGGTTGAGGCTCTATTGGCAGATTTTTAAGAAGCTAACAGAGAAATTGATAATCAAGGTCACAAAAATACTAATCTCCAGATCACTCCCCATGTCAAGTCCAGGTAATAACGGAAGTGAGCAGTGATTGCAGATGAACATATGACCAAAGAGAGGGGTCAGGCCAGGTCTATAGATTTCTGACATGTTGGTACCTGGTTTGAATGAAGAGAGAAGTTAAAGCAGTTGCAGTAAATAGGTGTGACAGCATCATCATACCTTCCCCCCCACCCCCCCCAACTTTAAAAAATAATGAAATACAAAGATTGCTTTATTTCAAAATCCTTAATGTTACTCTATTAGTACACTGCAATACATATATATTACATTGACTCTAAGCAAGCAAACATTCACTACTACATTCTATTTCAGTCCGTTAACTCTCACCACTGAACATCTCCGTCTTTCTTCGTCAAAGTCGTGACAATGCGTTGGCAATTACGTTTTCTCATCCTACCACGTGTATAGTTTTCAAATTGTACAGCCACAATAATAAGCTCTATCTAAACAGGCTGAAATCTTTGTCCTTAATCCCTTAAAGTTTTTGGAGAAATTTATGGTCAGTAAATACAATTGCCCCAGACACATTACTAGCAATATAAATGTTGTAATGCCAACACCAAGCTCAAGATTTCCTTCTCAATCGTGGAATATTTCTGTTGATGAGTATTCAAGTTTTCAGAAAAATACCCAATAGGTCTTTCTATCTTCTAGTCTTGTAAGAGCGTTGACACCCACATCACTCACATCGATAGCCACCTTGAATGGCTTTACGTAATTAAGTGAGGCTAATACTGGGGCCATGGTTAACACAGCTTTCAGGCCTTCTGACAATCTGCTGTCTACTGAAATTTTCTGCATTTCTTCAGTAAGTCAGTCAGTGGAGCAACCAAAATGCTAAAGTTCAGAATGAACTTCGGATAAAACCCACTCAATCCCAGGAATCACAGTACCGCTCTTTTTATAAACAATATGGGAACCTCCCCAGTAGTCTTTGTTTTCATGTCCAGTGAGGCTATCTGTCCATGTCCAATAACATAGCCCAGGAACATGATTTGGGCTTTTGAGAATTGACTGTTAGCCAGGTTTATCACCAAGCCTGCCTCCTGAAGTCAATCGAATAATTCCACTAAATGTTGCAAATGTTCTTTCCATGAATGACTAAAAATCATCAGATCGACCATGTACACTACATAATTGGTTAAGCCAGAAATAACTTTATAGGTTAGTCTTAGAAATGTGGCTGGCACATTTTTCATACCAAATGACATGACTTTAAATTGTTATAGTACATTTGGTGTCATGAAAGCTGAAATTGTCTTCGGTCTTTTGGATAAAGGTACCTGCCTGTATCCTCTGAGTAAGTCCAACCTAGAAATGTAAGTTGCTTGTGCCACCTTCGTAATACAGTCTTCCCAATGTGGAAACAGATCTGAATCAGACTTTGTAACTGCATTGATTTTGTGATAGTCTGCACATAATTGTTGGTACCGTCTGGTTTTGGCACCATTACTATGGGTGAGCTCCAGTGACTGCAACTCACTTTGATTATGTTACCTTTGAGCATGCGTTCAATCTCTTTTTTTTGAGTCTGTGCCAACTTTAGAAGGTTAAGTCTGTAAGGATGTTGCTTAATTGGAACTGAATTAATACACTAAAGAGACTCAAACAGAGCAGACAAATCAACAAAGCAAATTACCTGAAAATGAAACCTGAAGGAACAAACTCCCCCCGATTCTACACAAACGGGAAGTACTACTCGGACCCATAGTCTCCCTCCCATGCACACCAACACACAGGTTAGCCAAGGAGTTACAACGAAGACTAAGATACCGCGTCAGCAAGTCACCCCACTCAATCCACTCAGCCTAGGATTTCCTCAAATGACTCAAAGACATAAGAATAGACGAGGACGAGACCGTGGTGTCCTTTGACGTTACTGCTCTATTCACTTCGATTGACATACCACTGGCAAGAGAAACATTAGCAACGTTACTAAAAGAACGAGACCCGAGTAACACCATCTCCACAGTTAACATGCTGAAACTACTTGGACCTATGTCTCATGACCCACTTTACCTTTAATGGCCAAATCTATGAACAGATCAATGGAACACCCATGGGGTCACCTATCTCCGGACTAATAACAGAAGCAGTGATGCAGAGATTCCAAAACATGGCCTTTCTGCAAATCCAACCCAAACTATGGATGTGCTACGGGGATGACACTTTTGTCATCATCAAACGGACTAAACTGGAAGAGACAGACCAACTAATAAACAACATTCTCACCGGCATCAAATTCACCAGGGAAAAAGAAAGGAACAAATAGCTCCCATTCCTAGACATGATGATAGAACGCAGGACCAAGGGGGCATTCCTGACGAAGGTACACAAAGGCCACACGCACGGATCAAGTCCTGAATTTCAATAGTAACCACCCCAACGCTCGCAAATGAAGTTGCGTGAAAATACTATTTAAATGAACAACATCACACTGCAGCAACCTGGAACTACTCCAAAAAGAAGAAGAGTACCTCCAAGTATTTAAG